AGGTGTGACCTCAGGGAATCCACTGATAACCCAATATACCATTGTCTTGTTTTCTTTTTTGTCAGTGGTGGAAATGGTTTAGGAAATATCTAAGCTTGTGTGAGAGAGACAAGGTTTCCTGGGCACATAGAAAACCCTAACTTTCTACCCCTCTGTAGATAGACAGGATCATGGGAACAGCTCTGGTCAAAGAATTGTGGAAGGAAGTATGACAAGGCACTTTCTGGAACAAAAGTCAGATTTCTAGTCACATGCTTCACCTTTGGGGGTTCTGTGAGTTGAATTGTGTACTTCAAAAATTCATATATTGACGTTCTAATCCCAACCAGCACCTCAGCATAGGACCTTATCTGGAAACATGTAGTCAGTGATGAGGTGATGGTGGCAGAGGGTGGGCCCCTAATTCAATATGACTGGCATCCTTATAAAGAGGGAAAATTTGGACATAGACACGTACACAGGGAGAATGCCATGTGAAGTTGGAATTATGCTAAATTAGGCCAAGAAGAATCAGAAGCTAGGAGAGAGGCCTGGAACAGATGCTTCCATAACATCTTCAGAGGGAACATGGTTCCACCGATAACTTGATTTTGGGTTTCTGGCCTTCAGAACTGGGGGACAATACATTTCTGTTATTACCCAGCCTGTGGTCCTTTGGTATGGCCATCCTAGGAAATATTATGGGAAAAGTTACATGGCTAGACTGCATTCCTTGGACTCATTTCACCTATAGCAAACTTTAGGATAAAAGTAAAAAGAAATATCTAATTTAGAAATAAGGGGAAGTGCCTACCTTTTCAATGTCAAACTGGGACACTGTCCAACAGGCCACCCACCACTAGATAATTTTCCACAGACTGTACCTGTGTTTGACTTTGCACTTACCTTTCACTTAGACACTGTGAAGCTAATGCTAATGTCTAGATTTCTGCCTGGGTAGACAAGATCACACTAAAGGCTACATTTTATTTCCCTGTAGGACATTAACCACTTTTGTGTCTAATCTAGCAGCCTTATTTTATCATTATGTTTTAGAAAATGTCTACCGATACTGAATCCTCCATTGCTCTTGGTACCTATGTAGGCATCTTATTGGTTCCTTTATTCATTTATTTTTAAAGATTTATTTTTTATTTATGCATACAAGAACTGGGGTGTAGATCAGAGGTGCGGGGGTGGGGGTGGTGGTGGGAGTATTCATCGGAGACACAGTGGGGAGCAGAACAGGTAGATCTACTGAAATACACTGCTGAGAGGAGCAGCGGGCAAGACAGGACATGCCTCACCATGTGGGTTAGCTCCCTGGCTGGGGATCGAACTCCTGCTGCAGTGGCTGCTGATAGCTTGATTGTGCTGGCTTTAACCCCTGCGCCACCGGGGAAGCCCAGTTCCTTTATTTAAAAATGAATGTTTTTATGACATTATCTTTTTTTTAATTGAAAAAACAAAACATGTTTAGTTATTGCTAGTGTGGTTTGGGGATTGTTTATTAGCTGGTTGATAGTTCTTTCTGGTTTTAAAATCCCAAATGGAAAAACTTAGAATCAAGGAAGGAAGTGACTTTTAAGGTCTGCAGGGTGAAATGGACCAGCTCACAGTTCTTCCTTCCTTCTGTTCTTCTTCCGGTCATCATTCTTGGCCAAAGCTGGCTGAAGTCCAAGGCAACGCAGCTCAACTGTAGCCACTGAAGCAATTCTCAAGAGAAAGGAGCTCAAGCTCTAGCTGTAGTGAAGAGCTGAGGTTTAAATAACATAAAATAACCTGTCTTCAGCACTAGAATGGAAATTTGGTGAGGGCAGATTTTTATTTGGTTCATCTGTCTCCCAGGGCATCTGGTACATAGTGGACTCCCATTGATTTAAGGAAAAAAAGGTACTGAATTTAAAAAGTAATAGAATTCCAGGATGGAGCATCCTTTGCGATTTCTTAGCTCAAGTGTCCTTGTGCTATAAGAACTCTTGTTAACATCCCTGGAATCTACCAAACTTAGCTTGGGCGCTTTGGATAATGAAGAGGTTACTATCATCTGAGCCACTGAATACAAGTATATTCCTTATGGGCCTCCCCGGTGGCGCAGCGGTTGAGCGCTGGGTTGCGAAGCTGCCCGCGGCCTCTGCGGCATCGGTTCGATCCCCGGCTGCTCCCCGGCCACCAGAGGAGGGTCCCATATAGCACGCAGACCTCTCCTGCCGCCCACTACTCCCCTCAGCAGTGTACTTCGGTCCTTCTGCCTGCTCTGCTCCCCGCTCTGGCTCTGGTGAATTCTCTCACCCTCCCGCACTTCTGACTGTACCCAGTGCATGTATAAACAAACAAACAAATAAATAAATAAAACATGCCTCTATAAAAAAAAAAAAAAAAAAAAAAACAAGTATATTTCTTATACTCAGCTGAAAATCTGTATCTTTATAATTTTGGAATTTTTCATGTTCCCCTTAAATTTGCTCCTTTCTAGATTAACAACACCCATTCTTTTAGCCAGTCTACGTCCTCTTTTGCCGCTAAGAAAGACCCAGAAAAGGTAATCAATGACGATGGAGATCAGAATCATTACTCCCTCTGGGTAGCAGTATTGACCAAGAGGAGGGATGAGGAAGCTTGATCTGGGGGTGCTATATAATGTCTACAGATATGGAAATTCATTGAGCTGTACACTTAGGATGTGTGGACTTAGTGTAAAATTATACCTCAATAAAGAGTAAAACAAAATAAAGACCCAGAGATAGTTAAGTGATATTATAACTATGTGGAAAGGCAAAGCCTAGAACTCAGGATTCTGGAGTCCTGGTCACTGTCAATTCCCCTACTCCACTGTATTTTTGCTGCCATAGCAACACAGTGATACAACACTCTAATAGTCTATAGGTAGGCCTTGAGTAAGGCAGGAGGCAGGGTACAAGGTGCATGACATCAAGGAAAGCCAGTCCAGGGTGGGGTGGAGGCAGAATCTTGAGGGTATTTTTACTGTACAGGGTGTAATGAGCAGTAATAGTAATGAATTTGATGATAGCAATACCAATAGCTAATATTTATAGAGCATTTACTATATGCTAGGTAACCTAAGTGCCCAATGACAGATGAATAGATTAAGAAGTAGATTAAGATGATATACACAGTGGAATACTGCTCAGCTGCTAAAAAGATGAAATCTTGCCATTTGTGACAACATGCATGGAACTAGAGGGGATTATGTTAAGGGAAATAAATCAGAAGGAGAAAGGCAAGTAACAGGTGATTTCACTTATACGTGGAATATACAGAAATAAACAAAACAGGGCCTCCCCTGGTGGCGCAGCGGTTGAGCGCTGGGCTGCGAAGTTGTTCGCAGCCTCTGCAGTGCAGGTTCAATCCCCGGCCACCAGCGAGGGTCCCACATGGCCCGGCAGACCTCTCCTGCCATGCCCGCTGCTTCCCTCAGCAGTGCATTTGTCAGTCTGCCTGTTCTGTTCCCTGCTCTGGCTCTGGTGAATTCTCTCACCCTCCCATGCTTCTGACTGTACCCAGTGCTTGTATAAATAAATCTTTAAAAAAAAAAACAAACAAAACAAAGGAATGTAACAGTAAACCAAAACAAACTCTAGAAATCTGACTATAGAACTGAAGTTACAGAAGGGGAGGATGGAGAGAGGGCAGCAGCAAGGGGGGGAGGGGCCTAGTGGACTACGGTGGAGGATTACAGGTACTTTGGTGGTGGACGTGGTGTTGTAAAATACATCTGAAGAGATGTGAATCTATGCCCTAAAATTATATGCATTGTTACCTTAATAAAAATAGTACAATAATATTAAATAAACAAACAAATAAATAAATTGATAAATACTTTGCATGTATTAAATCCTCACAATAGACCTTATGGTATTTATAGTGAATGAATCCCTATTTTATAGATTAAAAAACAGGCCCATATTAAAAAACCTGTCCAAGTTTGCACAACCAGGAAGTATCGGAGCTTACACTTGGACTTGGGCAATCTAGCTCTGAACCCATGCTCCTGACCACAAGCAGACTGCTCCACGTTAAATCATCTGCAGTTGGCACACTGGCAGCCTCTGCTCAGAATGACGGCCCCCACCCCACAGAGGAAGCACCCAACATTTGTCCAGAGGTCCAATGGGCACTGATCCTGCAGATTTGCTAAAACCTAGTTCACCCATGTCTCCTGGGTCATCTGTATTAAAAAGCAGAATGAGAATTTACAAAAAGGTCAAAGTTCAGGTGACCTTGTTACCAGGACCCACACTCAAGACCATGAGGGTGCTCTACATGAAAACTCAGTCACCCAACTGCACTTGAGAAAAATAATCAGAGAAATGAAAACTAACACTACAACATGATACCACTACACACCCACCACAAAGTCTATAATTTAAAAAGACAGATGATGCCAAAGGTTGGCAAGGATGTGAAAAAACTAGAACTCTGATATATAGCTGGTGGGAGTATAAATTGATATAACAAATTTGAAAAACTGTTTATAATGTATTAGTTGGCACTGGCTGCCATCACAAAACCCACAGCCTGTGTGGCATAAACAACAGAAATTTATTTTCTCAGAATTCTGTGGGCTACGAGCCCAAGATCTAGAGGCTGGCTCATGCTGTGACAGGTGAGAGAGAGGAGAGGTGGAACTCTCTCTGGTTCTCTCTTATCTCTTCTCATAAGGACACTAATCCTATCCGAGCCGGGTTCTACCCTTATGGCCTTATTTTTTTTTTAATAAAGATTTATTTATTTATTTATTTATTTATTTAAGCACTGGGTACAGTCAGAAATGTGGGAGGGTGAGAGAATTCACCAGAGCCAGAGCGGGGAGCAGAGCAGGCAGACTGACGAAATACACCGCTGAGGGGAGCAGTGGAAGCAGCAGGAGAGGTCTGCACACCATGTGGGACCCTCACCGGTGGCCGGGGATCGAACCGGCGCTGCAGAGGCTGCGGGCAGCTTCGCAGCCCAGCGCTCAACCGCTGTGCCACTGGGGAGGTCCCTTATAACCTTATTTAACCTTAATTACATCCTTACTCCACATATAGTCAGGCTTAGGATTTCAACATACGAATTTCAGGAGGTGGAACACAATTCATTCCCCAGCATTTTGCCATTGCCCCCACCCTCCAATTTATGTCCTTCCCATGCAAAATACATTAATACCCTAATAACCCCCCAAATCTTGACTCATTCTAGCACCAACCCTGAAGTCCAAATGTCATCTAAGTTCATGGGTTAGAAAGGGGGTATGATTCATTCTGAGGCCAGAGCTCCCTCAGTTAAGAACCCATGAAAGCAGACAAGTCAGGTGTTCCAGAACATGATGGCTGGGCAGGCATAAGATAACAATCCCATTCCAAATTGGGGAAGAAAAAACTGAGTCCCAAGCAAGTACAAAACCTGGAAAAGCAAAGTCCTTTAGACCTTAAAGCTGGAGAATAATCCTCTTTGTCTCCATGCTCTGCCCTGTAGGTCCATGTGGGTGGCAGTATCACCCTCATGGCTCTGCCGGGGTGCCCACTTTTTGGTGCTTAGGGTGGCCCAGCTGCTCCTGTGGCTACTCCCTGAGGCACAGGGCAGGGGTCTTGGCCCCGTGAAGCAGGAGAGGCAGACCCACGCGTGTGCAAACAGCCTTGCCCCTAGGTCTGTGGTAAGAATGGCAGCCTTGGGGGCCTCTGAACTGCCCTCAGAATAATTCATGTTCACAACAGAATATGTCTATGGTTCCATTTTATAGACTCCAAGTTCAACTGCCTTCTTTCTTTCTGTCTCTTTCATTCGAAGTGGCAGTGTCTCTGCTGGTATGACCTGTCTCTATTCCTGGCTTCTGCCGCTGAGATGGCTGGTTGAGCCCAGGGGTCTCACCCAGGACCCATTTATCAAAGGGTTACTCAGTCATACCCTTGGTGGTCTCATCAGAATAAGCTTTTTCACTTATTTATTTATTTATTTATTTTTGTAACTAGGACAGGTTGGAGATATTCCAATCTTCAAGTTAGGGTTAAATGAGGTCATGCAGGTAGTGCCCTGATTGATATTATCAGTGTTCTTTTAAGAAGAGATGCCAGTGAGCTGGCTCATTTTCTCGTTTCCTGCCACGTGAGGACACGGGGAGAAGCCAGCCATCTGCAAACCAGAAATTGCTTTCGTCAGAAATCAAACAGCTGGCACTTTGATCTTGGACTTTCCAGCCTCCAGCATAGTGAGAAAATTAATTTCTGCCTTGTAAGCCACCTAGCCTGTGGCATTTTGTTATGGCAGCCCTAGCAGACTGATACAGGCAGGGTCTAGTAAAAGTGAACATATGTCTAGCCCTGTGACTTAGCAATTCAATTCCTAGGTATAAATCCCAAAGAAATGAGAATATATGTGCACCAAGAGACATGGACAGGATTCACAGCAGGGTGTTCGTAATCTCCCAACCAGCAATATCCCAAGTGCCCCTCCACAGAAGAAAGAATATGTAGTGAATCTGAATCGTTCATAAATTGGAATACTGTATAGCAATAAAAGTGAACAATTTGCAGCTCTTTATAATAGCACAGATATACTTTATAAATATAATGACGAAGGAAAGAACTCGACATGAGAAAGCAGATATCTATGATCCCATTTATACAAAATTCAGAATCAGGTAATAGTGCTCTTTTTCTTTACCATGAGTGTGTTTGCTCTGAAGATTCATAAATCTGTACATATGTAATTTGTCCATTTTCTGTTAAGAAAGATTTACATAAAAATAGCTTCCCTGTTAAAATGCACCATTGTAGGGCCTCCCTGGTGGCGCAGGAGTTAAGTCTCAGCACCATGAAGCTATCGCCAGGCACTGCAGCAGTTCGATCCCCAGCCAGGGAGCTAACCCACAGGGCACAGCAAACCTCTCCTGCCTCACGCGCTGCTCCCCTCAGCAGTGTATTTCAGTAGATCCTCCTGTTCTGCTCCCTACTCTCTGGTGAATCCTCTCATCCCTTGCACCTCTGGCCTACACCTCAGATCTTGTATGCATAAATAAACAAAAATAAATCTTAAAATAAAATAAAATGCACCATTGTAATAATGGAAAATGAGTTGCTGCATTAGGTGGTGGGGGGAGAGTGTGACTGACCCGTGACTGAGCAGATCAATCAAACAATCACAGCCCAACCCACGAAGAGGACAAGGTGGCAGAGATCCCAGTAGACCATTGCCAGGAGGTCTCAGCAGAAAATACAGAGCAACACACATAACATCCTTCAACTGTGTTTAGGAAGATAACTCCTTTCAACACTGGCCTGCATTGCACCGTATACATATCTTCTATATCTTGCTTTAATCATTGTGCACTTCTGTAGGTAAGACAAGTAAATTCTGAAACACTGTCAATCCAGAACAGTCTGTGGCACCTGTGGTCAATGGCTGTTCACTGTACTTTGTGAATAAACAATTTCTCTAGCCTGTGTTTTTGTTGGAGCAGCCCTGCAGCCAAATGCACTAGGGGTGGCCTCCTGTGCTGGGTACAAGTCCTGCTGCTTGCTGCTTCCTTTGCCTGCCCCCCTCCCCACCCCCAGACCCACCCTAGGATTCGGGGTCAGGCAGTGCAAGCACTGTGTGACATAGCTTGCCTGGAGGTATTGCAGGCCCTTGTCCCAGACAAGGCAGCCTTTGCCATACCCTGCCAGTTTCTACAGCTACAGCCATGGGAGGTAACTGGACCTTCTCTCTCTCCTACCTGTTAGTTAGAATAAATTTTTTTTGTTGCACCAAAGGCCCTTTTCTTTATTTGTGGCAACGGGTGGCTTGATCCAGAAACAGTGAGAGAGATTTTGAGAAGATAACAGTTTTTAGTCCCTTTGCCATGGTAACATTTTGACAGCCCCCCCCCTCCGCCCGCCGCCACCCCACTGGGTTTCTGAAGCCTAGAGTATGAGTGGGATTTTTAAGATAATTTATTTTCTTGGTAGCTGCCCTTTATCCACCATTGCGACAAGGTCATAAGAGCAAGAAACGGTTCCAGGGCTATACATTCCAGTCCCAGCTATGATCCACTAAAGGGCAGAGTCTGAAGGCTGTGCAATGCACTCTGAAGGTACTCTGAGATGTCAGGGAGCCAGGGGGTTCTCTCCTGCTAGGGAAAGGCACAGCTGCCAGACCCAGGACTGTGATTTACCCCTAGCCTCCCCAAAGGAGGAGGGGTTTCTTTAGAAAGGTATTGCCCTCCTTGTTCCCACCACAGAGGACCCTGGCAGCATTTGTTCCCACAGCCTCCTTCCAGGCAAGGCAGGTGTGACTGTTTGTACAGATACTTCAAAATGAAAAGCCTTGGGACCTCTGGGCCCAGCGTAGCCATATAGATTTCCCATAACACACACATGTACATGTACATGTACATGTACGTGCGTGCACTCACACACACACACACAGAGGCATGGATGTGCACACCCCTGATATAGGGATCTCTCAGAGAACTCACCTGGGGTGTCATCCCATGGCAGATGTAGACGATAGGAACATTCTCGGTGTCTGGACCCTGATCAAGACATAAATCAGTCTTCAGAGAGTTCTGCAGCTGAACACCAGAGGAGAGGTGGCCATGCCAAAGAGAAAGGAACAGAGAAACAAATGCATTAGTCAGGAGAAACACGCATCCCACTGAGATGGGCTTCATTTCCATAAACAACGCAAGGTCCCTTGAATACTACAGAAGGCAGCAAGCACCAGCCTTTGCTTTATGTAGAGGTGCTGAGGGAAGACTAGCCTCCTTTGAAGAAGAAGCAGCCGCTTGTTGTTAAAACAGCCAGCTGGGGTTCGGGAGCTGAGAAGTCTAAGTAAAAATAAAAGATACACAAACAAAATGGTGCGAGGTTTTCAACCCTCCATTTCCACAAGGGTGGCACAGCGACTCTCAAGGAGACAAGTCTTTGCTTTTGAGGGTTGGGAGTAGTGGGGACATGTTGGGGTTTCTGGCTTGGATGCCTCTGGGGCCTGGCCCTCTCCCCCTCATGCAGAGGCACCAGGGGCTGGCCAGGTCCTGGTGGTGGTCAGCTGGTGGGGGATCTCTAGATCCCCTCCTGCGAAAGAGAGGAGGGAGACAAGGCGGGAGCACAAGAAGAAAGATGTATCCTACAGTTGCATGACAATCAACAAAACAGATGTCTGGGTACCTGAACCAACATCTTACCACACCTAGGTAAGAAAGCCAGTATTCAATGTCCCCTTCTGCCTTATGCTCCACTGAACAGTCCTTGGAAAAGGGCAGCTTGTAGTCCACATGGCCACTGCTGAATAGACCATCCATGGCACCAACCCATAGTTTAGAATGAATGGATAATCCTTCCCCTCTCCCTTTGTTCGCCTCTGTCCTTCTTTCCCTGGAAAGTGACATCTCATTTTTCCCTTATTCTGCTGAGGAATCTTCTAGGGAAGAGATCAGAGACTGGTCAGTAGTGCACTGAAGCCATTTAGATTGGACGTGGGGGAACTGTTGAGCTATACGCAACTGGAGAAATCTAGGTGTGATCAAGCATGAGATGAAGCACGAGGCAGGCAGAATTAGGGACACCAGAGATCAGCCTGACCCTACTGTGGCTTTAGTCTCTTCCTGACTCTAGTGGCCATGGTCAACTCTGCTTCAGTTCCTGTGCACAGAAGACACCTTGTGGCATCTTTACCGCACCTTAACTTGAACTAGCATATAGCTCTTCTTAGCAATCAGAGCACTTGGTTCAGGACAGGAGATGGAGATCAGAATCCAGGGAAGACAAGGCAATGGGCCACAAGTAGCTCTTCTAGCAGGAAGGCCAGAGGCAGGAGAGGCTGAGCTTGGCCCTGATGGCTGTGGCCAGAACACAGTGAACTCAAATAAGGGCCGGGAAATGGAACAGACAGCAGAGGCAAAAACACTCTATATGCATCCGTTCTTGACGGTGGACAAGAAACAAAGCCAAATCTTTTCATCTTGATCTTTCCTTCCTCTGCTGGTGACAACAGCTCATCTCAACCTGGTAGTATGGAAGTTCTAGTGAAATATGAAAGTGTGTCAGATTCCTAGGCAGGGGCCCCAGAAATATCTATGCAGCAAGTCCTCTATTATCAGTCACTGGGTGCCTGTCTACGTGGGAAGAGCATGTGTAAACAGTCTCCACACTCCCGCAGCCCACAGAGGAGTGGGCGCCACATCTGAAGTCCGGCACTGTGATCCATTAGTACGACCTGCTAACTGCTGTTGCAAAAAGAAAAGTCCAGAGAACCCTGATTCTGGCAGGGCTCCCCTCTGGGGTCTTAAAACCAGCTTCTGGGTGAAGGGGTGGGTGCTGCCTTTGGCAAAGTCCTCCGTGACTCTGTGTCATCCCACCCCACTTCAGCAGGGGCTCCAATGACACAGCTGGGAGAGACAGACCGGGATGATGAAGTCCTGGCTCCAGCTGTTCGGTCTTGGGCAAAGCAACTTAACTCCTTCTTGTCTGTTTCCCTCTCTGAAATAGGGATAATAATAGTGTCTACCTCATAGGACTGTTACAAAGACTATGTGAAACAGTATCTACAAATGCTTAGCACAAGCCTGGCAAATAGCAACTGCTGTAATTGTTATTACTGGTATCACTCTTCCTAAAGTTATTCAGAGAAACTCACTTTTATGACTGCATCTAAGTGCTGGGAAACATCTGAAGAGTTTCCCATGCATTATCCTATTCTACAAATGATCCCACCAGGTCACTAAGCTGTCTCGCAAGTTGAAGGAAGTGTGTGGTGCCAAGAGGCTCTGCCTCACCAGTCTGTCTGAAAAGCTGTTCCCCTCACCCTGTGTCACCCTCTGCTTTGACCTTCTCTTCGCCTGGTGAAAGCCTCCTCTTCCTCTGTCACTCTGAAGCCTTGTCTGACCCCAGGCCGGGTGTGAGACCACTGTGCTAGGCTCCCAGCAGCCCCACTTCTCTTGCAGCAATTAGCACTGAAAGCTTCCTGCTTCTTTACTTACCTGTCACAAGACTAGGCCTCAGTCTTTCCCACTGTCTATGACATGGGCCAAATCTGACACAGAGGAGAGTGCAAAAACTTGTGGAGTGAATGAATGAGGAACAAATGAATAGCATCACCATTGGACAAGGGGCAGAGCTGGGATCACTCTCCAAAGTACTAGTTCTTTGTACTTTCCGGCATGCAAATAGGAACTGGAAAAGACATCCCGTGAAATGGCTTGAGTATAACCTTTAAGGTTTTTCAAATTGTCAAGGTTACACAGGAAGTAAGTGGCAAAACTAATGTTCAGCTATCAGGCATATCTCTTTCCAGATGCTACTCTGTCTCTGCTGTCACCATCGGAGCTGGGATTAATCCAAAGACCTGATCTCCCAGTCACAGAGCTCAGTGATCAGGGGAATTCTGCACCCATATGTCAGGACTCACAGGTCCTTGTCTGCAGGAGTCGTTAATGGGGACTATGTATGGATTAATTACAGATTAATGGGACCTATGCAAGGATTAATTACAGATTTGACAGTGGCCTGACCGGGAGTCCCAGGAGGTTATTTGACCTGAGAAACGTAGTTGGATTGGAAAAGGAACAACACAAAAAACCTCTGCCCCTGAGAGACGTCTGATCTCTCATTTTAGAATAAAAATAACCCTGAGGAAGAATGACTCAGCTCCAGCAAATGCTCTCGTGGCTGCATCCTGCTTTGCCCATCTTCACTTTCCCTACTGGCCCCATTAAGAGTTGATTAGGCTCCTTAACAAGCAAGCGTCAGGGCCCAGCCTGTGGAGGTGGCAGGAGGGAGGGAAGGCTGGCCAGGCCCTGAGCAATGGCTGGCAGGTGAACATGCAGTGGTCAGAGACCTCCTCCAGCCAGAGAGATGCTTCTCACAGCTCAGCCCTCTGGGGTGATTAATAAGACAGAGTGGAAACAGCCCTGGCTATGGACTCAGACACAGTTAGCTCACAACCCAGTATATGCCACTTACCATTTGACCAACCAAAGGAATATGGGTGTGGAAATAAGGCGGCTACATGGTAAAACTGCTCTACATGGTCATAGATGAGATCTTTTGTGCGGAAGACAAGAATGCCTTTGGCCAAGACCTAAAATAGCAATGGCCACAAACACATACTGCCACTGCCACTGCTTTCCCTGACTCTCTGCCTGAAATTGGTGAATACTGTTCAGCTTCAATTGACAGTTTGGGGAGAACATGAATCTAGGAGCTTGCCCTGGCTCAGAGAGGTTTGGGGACAGCAGTTTCTGCAGAGCCACCCTAACAGAACTACCCGTTGTGGATTGGGCAACAATGGCCACGCGGTACACATGGCTTGCCATGGGGAGAGAGTAGGGGCACTGCGTTCTGGTCTTGCTCTTTGTTTGTGTCTGCATGAAACTCTGAGGAGCCGGCTCCTTACCACCCCATAGGCGATGATGTCCGAGTACATCCTCATCTCCGGGTACACGCTGACCAAGTACCACCGGAAGGTCTTGCACTGCAGCTGTTTTCTCAGAGCCTTCCTTGCGGAGATGTCCCCAATGTCGATGCCTGGGTCCTGTGAGGGATGCAAACACAGAAATGCAGCCACCACCAGGGCACCACCCTCCCCAGACTTCCTCGAGTTGTACTAGTGAAGGGATGGATGACATGGGAATGCAGCCCACACATTTCCCAACATGTATCTTAACCCCATAACCTTCCTCATTTGGACTCTGAAACATGGGATCAGCATTGATGGGGGCTGTCGGGGGCTGTCATCAAAGGCCATTGAAAATAAGGATGCCAACTTCTAATATTTATTTTTTTATTTTTAAAAAGGTTTTATTTATTTTTGCATAAAAGCACTGGGGTGCAGGCCAGAGATGTGGAGTGAGAGGATTCACCAGAGACAGAGTGGGGAGCAGAACAGACGGATTGAGTGAAATACACTGCTGAGGGATGCAGCAGGTGAGACAGGAGAGGTCTGCTGCGCCATGTGGGTCAGCTCCCTGGTTGGGATCAAACTCAGGCCATAGTAGTGATAATGCTCAGAATTAACCCCTAGGGCACCAGGGAGGCCCCACCAACTTCTTATATTAAAATTTAAAAAAAAAAAGCCTGTAATCTGGGCATGGATAAAAGAAATGGAAAGCGGTAAGAGATTCTGAACTGTATGGAGAGAAAGAAGGAAGGGATAAGAGTTGAAGGTGGAATAATGTTAAGTCTAATACTATTCTTAAGTGTCATAACAGCTAAGGATACACAACACAAAGCACCAAGCTCTGTATCATGTATACGGTTATACTTATGTGTATTGTCCCATTTAAAGCTACCAGGTAGCACTATACCATCCTTATTTTATAGATGAGGTGTTAAGACAAAGAGAGGTCCAGTGACCTCCATGGTAGCTAACCCAAACCCCACAGCTAATAAATTGTGGAGCTGAGGTTTGAGTCTGATCCATGGGGCCTGCAGTTTGTGCTTTTAACCTTTCCCAGCACACTTGGACAAGCCTGCCCTTCTTCCTCCTACGATCAAGTTCGTGTGCGAGAGGCAGACACTTCAAGCTCGGGAGTCTCAGCTTACAGAGAACCCTTCTCAGGTGAATCAGAGAGGTAGCCCCTGGGCCATGAAGGGGCACAGGCCAGGGGGAGAAGAGGACCACTTGAGTGAGGCATCCTTTAATGTCCATGTTTCTTGTAGCCACAGAATAGAGGGAAGAGCACTGTGAATCCCTGTAGCAATTGGCCAGCACAGAATTAGCTGAGAAAGAACTGAGGCCACAGCAGAGGCTAGAGCCACAGTCCAGAAGGGGCATGGGGTGTCTCCTAGGATACCAGCTCAGAGTGGAGACGGGGGTAGACAGGAGTACAGTCCCCCCGAAGGGCACTGCAGTCTGTGTGTTGTCTGTGCGTGACCCTCTCTGATTTTACCATCAACTTCAAGCAAGTTCCTTGGGTCAGGTAGACAATGAAATCCCCAGAACTTAAATCTGAAATGTCTGAGAAAAATCACAGAGATGACTGCTACATCTATCTGGGCATGGACAGAACAGACAATAGGGACTGTGCACAAGCAACGACAGAAAAATTACATACAAAAGAAATACATTTGTTTTTGCCTATGAGAATTCAGGTAATATAAAAACTTGAACCTGCTGCAGCCGGAAGGTTCAATTTCCAGACTCCTAGGGTGTAATTTCAGCAAAGACCTTCCTTTTGAGTACTTAATGACCTCAGCTGTGATTTGTCTCTTCCTGGCTCCCGCCCAGAACCCTCCTAGCAACTGTTACTTGGCGTTTCCCTGCTGGACCCTTGCTTCCTTACGATCAAGAAACTTGTTTGACTTATCTCTGAGCCACTGGCCTAGAGCTGTGCCTGAGCTATGTGGATGAAATCGAGTTGAGAAAATATTTATGAAGTAGCCAACACAGCAACTAGCAATAAATATAACCTGCTCAGGCCTCCTCGGCCAAGGAATTGGTTAGCTATTAACTTATTAAATGTCTCTGCTCTTTATCCTTATATCACAAAGCTATTTGCCTGGAGCCATGCCTCCCTCCCCTTCATGCTATAATTGCCTTCATGGCAATTATATGCATCCGTCTCTGTATATGCATATATTCAAGTTATGTATAAATTGTGGAGCGGGGAGAGGGAGGGAGGTTGACAAATTGTATATACATATATAGACCAGTTAGCACTGTCTCATTTTTTATGGGGAGCCTCTATGTTTTCTCTGCGTTTTCCCAACATTTTGTGTTCTCATGGGGAAACTTTCTGTTTATACTCAGGATCTCCTTATGTCTCTCCTTACAATCTAACGAAAGGTGGGAGGGAGAAAATCTATCAAGGATCCATATGTACTTTAACTTCTAGGAAACTCAAGAACCAGAGCTTTGCTCAGCTTATTCCTGGATATCATCTCCCTTCCCTCCTCCTGCTCATTAATTGACTTTTGCTTCCCTTTTAAACATCTCAGCATGACCATACTAAATTGCATCAAACCCCTTTTCAGAACAGGGACCAGAAATTGAGAAGTAAGCAAACCTTCTCAGAGAAGGTCACTTAGCCCTTATTATTAGAAAACAATAAGCGTATCTTTCTTTATTGGCACATACTTAGTGGGCTCAACAGTGTCCTCACACAAATTTGTGCCCATCAAGGTCCAATGTGACTGCTCTTGGAAACAGAGATTTTGCAGATAAACTTAGAGATCTGAGATGAAATCATCTTGTGTTTAGGGCGAGGCCTACATCCAATGACTGGTATCTTTAATAAGAGCAAGGAGGGAGATCTGGACACACAGAGACAGACAGAAGAGACGATCTCACGAAGACAGAAGCCAAGACTGGAGCGATGAATATCTAGAAACCAAAGAACACTAGGAATCACCAGAAGCTGGAAAGATCCTCCCAAACAGCCTTCGGAAGGAAACCAACCCTGCTGGCACTTTGATTTGGGGCTTCTGCCCTCCAGAACTGTGAGAGACTCCATTTCTGCTGCTTTAAGACACTTATTTTGCGGTAACTTGTTATGGAAGCCTGAGGAAAGTAACATAGCCACACACAAAGCTATCCAGTGTCCCTGCAGTGAGTGCCACCACACACCAAATCCCTGGAGTTGAACTGGAGGGCTGTTGCTAGGCCCTCCTTCTAGTGACTCATCCCTGACACTCAGCCTGGCTTTGGCAAGAGGAAGTAGGGCCAGGCACAGAGTTCCTGAACCCTGTGTAAAAAAAATACCGATACTTTGCTGCAGTTGGGCTTTCTGTTGATGAGCAAAATGATTTTCAATTAAAGTAGGAGGACGCAGAAGCCCGAGGCCTCTCTGACCTTGCAAAAGCTTGGGCTGACCATGGCAAGGCAGCCAGCGAGAAGGCAGACTGCTCAGCTTGCAGCCCAGCGAGGTCTCAGCACAGAAGGCAACAAGGAGGGATGATTGCCCAGCCAGGGCATTTTAAAGCAGGCCAGGAATGCAGAGGGTGTTTGCAATAACACCAGCAACAAGAATTAGCACTTATCTAGCACTTTCTATTTGCCAAACACTGCTCAAAGTCTTTACATATATTAATGGATTTAATTCTCAAGCTGGTCACTGGGCAGGGGGAAGGGTTCCAGCTCCATATTTGCAGCTGGGATGAAAGGTTAAATAAATAGATAACAGATGAGCCTGTGATTGAGTAGACAGCCTGGGGATACTGCCACAGGCAAAGTCCTGGGGAAAAGTCCTGGGGAAAACACAGAGGGCATGTTAGCATCCACATATCCTCCTTTCTCTTGTTGAGTTCATCTTTACTGAGTGCCTAGTATGTGTCAGGTGCTGTCTAAGCACTGTGCACACAAATAGGAGGAAGTCATGGGTGTTGCCTGAAAGAAGAGTCTGGAAGACCCAGACAAGTGTACAGATTCTCTGCACACAGTGTGACACATGGAGGGGAGCAGAGAACACTGAGGGAGAACAAAGGGGGGGCTCTTAGGCCATCACATGGTGTGGGGCACCTGAGATGGAGTGAGAGGGTGGCAAGGGAAGGCTTCCTGGAGTAGGTGATGCTAAACTTGAGTTTGGCAAGATGAGCAAGATCAGTTAAACTAATGTTATCCAAACCTGGCTGCCCCAGACCAGCATCCAAAGAAACATTTACTATGAACATACTCATGAGAATTTCTGAGGAAGAGACCAAGAATCAGCATTTTTAACAAGTTTTTCAAGTGATTCTGATGCAGTCCTCTGCAGAGATGCTTTTTGGAGTTACTGATCAAGAGAGAAAGGAATCGTATAAACTGGCAGCAGATTCACTTATTAATAAGCAATAGTGAGGTTTTACTGAACTCTGACCCTGTGCCCACCTTATGCTCGGCATGGTGACACAAATTTGAATAACAATCTGTCCTCAGGGAGGCCACGGTCGAGTGCAGTGGTTCTTAGCCCTGGATGGACACTAGAAACTTGAAAAGGGTCCATGGTTCCCTTCCAATCCAATTAAGTAATAATCTCTGGGGCTAGAGCCCAATTGATTTTAAAGTTCAGCCAGATTTGAGAGCTCCTGGTCTAATGAGAGAAAGGAAAGTGACTTGGAGAACAGAACATTCTTTTACAGGGTGATGATGCAATGACAGAGTCATGGATGCAAAGGGGGCATTTACTCTAGCTGGCATTGGCTTCCTAGAGGAGGGGTGCCTGGAGCTGAGCCTCAAAAGATGGAGAGGAATTAGCATAGGGTGGGCAGACTGGGGAAGAGGTAGAAGATAGGGAATCCCAAACAGAGGACAAACTGAGCAAAACACACAGAAGGAAGAAATATTCAATAACGTGCTATGGACAGGGAGAGCTGGGCAGGCGCCATCATCCATGCAACTTACACAGTCTCCAGAGCAGCAGTGGTGGGAGACGGTGCTGGAGAGGAGGGCAGAGGTGAAGGATGGACTTTATGCTTGATATTGTGCAGGGTGAAGAGTTATGTAAAGATTCTAAGGGACGCAAGACATGATCACTGTGAATTTTTTCAAAGATAGCCTTGGATAGTGTGGAGGATAGATCTGAGAGGACGAAGACTCGCGCCGGGGAAACCAGGCAGAGCCTGCAGCAGAGGAAGAGACAGGGCCTGAAGTCAGCTTTGAGATGAGGCAGAGGTGGAAAAAGGAGCGTTCAGTGTTAGACTGGGGATGGGGGTTGACAGAGAGTGTGATTAAAGGAAGCTCTAAGCCCACATGTCTGGCAGGTGGTGATTTCATAGACTGAGAGAATAAGAACAGGAGAATTGAGAAGAAGCAATTTTTGTCAGATTCAGTCTCAATCACCCGTGGGAACACCCAGAGAAAGCCGTATGACTGGCAGCTGGAGATTAAGTCTGAAGCTAAAGGCAGATGTTGGGGCTAGAGATATTAATTAGGAACTTATCTTATAGGTGGTAGTAGAAAGCCAGAGAAGGTGGATTCCCATGGAGGTGGTGTATAGCAAGAGCAGATGGCTGAGGATGCACCTCCGGGGACACTTATTCATCCAGTGGAAGCAAGAGAAGCCTTGCAGAAGTTAGGTGAGAATATTCTGGGGTGTATAGTCCTGGGCCAAGGGAGTGCAGAGTTTCAAGGAAAAGTTGGAATCCTGTCAGTTCAAGATTTACTGTTATTATTATTTATATTATTATTTATTCTCTTTTTTCTTCTTACTTTTAATGAAGTACCATTGCTTAAACTCATGCCATGTGTGGCTACATGGTGGAGATGGAAGGGAGTAGGCTAAATGAAATAAACCAGAAGGAGAAAGATAAATACTGGATGGTGTCCCTTATTTGTGGAATATGGAGAAGCCAAAGGGTGAGATAAACTATAAAACCAACCCTTGAATATGACCATAGATTGGGTCAAGATTCTTAAATGTCCATTAAATTAAGCAGTTAGAAGTCCCATGATGACTTATCAAAAGCTGTTTCCATGGAGCATTGACAGGTGACTTGAGAAGTAAATTGGGGATGAAAACGTGTTGACTCTTTCTAGAAGTTTGATGAGAGGTGGAAGAAGGGGTTTGGACACAAAAAGGAAGTGGGGTGTTGAGAGATTTTAAGGAGCACACTGACTTCTTCTTTCTCCACCTAAAGCTTTATCCTGGCCACTTTGCCTCTGCATCCACTATTTTCTGAGCCCACTTCCAATCTCCCTGCCACCCTGGTTTCATCAGCCCCTTGGAGGAGTCATGGACAGATGCTATTTCATCATTTCTCAATTATTTTTACTCAGGTCTTTACCATTCATTGGATTTGTTGTCCATTTCAATATCTGGAAGCTTCAATGGGGCAGATGCTAGAAGGTTTGCAACTAAGGGGTGCAGAGAAGGGTAAGGAGCATGAACAGGACTCTAGTCCTTGAGCAGAGTGGGTGGTGGAGGGGGTCTACATGCTTCACCAGTGAGCTCCTGGGGAGTTTCCAAGCACTCTTGCCATTTTGCTATCAGAGGACACCCACAGTGGGGCTCAGTATCCTCCAGAACACTGTGATCCAACGCCCACAGTTCCAGATGGGTCCAAAGACACTGCTGTTTCCCTAGAAACACTCCCACTGTCAGGGACACAATCTGGGGCTGCTTCATTGGGTTTGGCCGCACTCCGACAGTAGTCTTTGACACCTCATTCTTCCTCCCAACTGCTGAAATCTCAGTGAATGTGGGAGTATGCAACCCAACCCAAGTCTTCCTCCCCCATGGTGGTATTGGGGGCTTAGGGGATGGTTGCTGAACAACTCCTGCCTACGACTTAGCCTACTTTCTCAATCATTCAGCCAGAGCAACATTAGCTTAGTGGAGGGAACAGGGCCTTCATATGGAAAATTTAAGCTAAGATCAATCATTTACCCATTAGAGGAGAGAGGTGAGGCTTTCTGAAGGACTCCCAAGGGGAAGCCACAGACTTGGGGGGAAAAATGGAGGTTATGCCAACACTTATGGAGGCTTTTCTCACATAGAAGGCAACCCAAGCAATAATTTCCAGGCAGACAGGCTGGTAAGTAAGCTGGGAGCCTATGACTGGTATCTATTGTATTTTCCCAACTCTGGTCCAAGGTCATTTCCATAGGACATACAGCAAGGCTGATCAAAACTAAAGACATATTGCTTTTCTCTGGCACTTCTTAAGCATTGGTGTCTAGAGGAACAGAGGACGGTGGTAGGCAATGATGAGGTTCCATGAAGGTTAAAATAACCTGAAAAATGTCTAAAATAGCTTCCTTCTCCTGAGGGCCTCTGTGAGAGTGTATCCCACCCATCCACATCGATCAAGAAATTCCAAAGGCATATGGACATTCTGTATTGCTCTGGCCAAATGTTTGATGAGAAGCTTCAATCACGTTTATAGAGATAAATTTTGTGATAAATTTTGTGTACATTTTGTGAATTTTGGTAATTACTGGTAAATCTGTAACTCAGGGCCATGAAAGAGTTAGGATCAGAGGAGCTGAGGACCTCGGAGCATGAGGAAGCTTGGAGTCACTTGGGGGGGGAACTTTCTCTTTTAAGATGAGGACACTAAGGTGTTTCTTCAAGATGCTGACCAGGGTGGGGCAGGAATAAGACATGGCTTAGCACCTCACAGTCAACCCCTTCCTTCAACATGTAGTATCTTTGGGGATTGAGATCCCACTTATAAGACTCCTGTTGACGCATGGGAAGAAGGGTTTAGTACCATGTTTGCTCGTTTGTTTCCCACCAAACCCCAAGAAACCCATCCCCACAGGAGCTCTCTACCTCTTGGGGTATGTTCCATGCCATGTAAACATGGCTTTTAAATTCATCCATCCAGACTTCGGCCACGCGAAGGGCGTTCCTGCGGACATGCACAGTGAGGTCCTCGGTGTAGGGCTTGTGGGCTCGCTCGATGTGGGCGATCCTTGAGCAGGGCAGGACCTCCACACTCCCGCCACACTGCCAGACCTGCAGAAGACACGGAACCACACATCAGTGCTCAATCCCGACTTTGAGCCTCTAATCTGGCCCACAGGTGAACAGGCAACATGAGCATAAATGAATCAGCTCTCTTCATCTGGTCTCTCTAGACCACTGTCTGCAAAGAGAGGGAGCTGTACCTTGTTTCTACTCCTATTATAAGAAATTATTGGGTCATTAATTCATGTCTTGTTTCTTGTGGCTTATGAATTTACCAGCAATGAATGATTGCAACTTCTCTCTCCATCCTCTCCACCCCTCAAAGAAGAGAGTAGACATTGTACAACTGAAGATCTGGATTGGTCGTGACCCTGGAGGAGAAGTTAACAAAACCCTTGATAATGGTCTCTGCAACAGTGCTTCCTAAGGAGGGACTGGCAGGGCCTCCCAGCAGAGATGTCACTTTCAATGGACCACATGAGTCTGCAGAAAGGTAAGTGATCACCACAGGGACTGAGTCAGGCTGCCTTCTCTTTCTCCATCTTTCTGGTGCCAGTTTTGATAGAATCCAAGAAAGAGGAGCTGCGAAGAAGGGAATATGAAATTTCTCACTGGGTGAGTAGGAGCTTCACCTGGATGTAATTTAATTTTGAAAAACATGAAGAAAAATGACCTTGCATTCTGAGAATTGAGGGACAGTGTCTTAGTGTCTCTGCTTTCCTCCAGCTGAAAAAAAATCTTTCTCAAGACCTTGGACACGTGGTCCTTCTGTTGTGGGGTCTTTGCTCAATTCTCAGGTAGCACCCCTCTCCTGCCATGCCTGCTGCTCCCCTCAGCAGTGTCTTCAGTCCATTTGTCTGTTTTGCTCCCTGCTCTGTCTCTGGTGAATTCTCTCACCCTCTCATGCCTCTGACTGTATCCCAGTTCTTGTATAAATAAATACATCTTAAAAAAAAAATGAAGGAGGCTTTTGTTGAGTCTCTCAGGCCCCTCCCCTCCCTCTGGCCCCCCAATAACTCTTAATGTCACCACTTACATGCTGATAGATTATCCTGTGTTCCCAGAGGGAAGAACCAGTGCCATTTCTATCTCTAGCACCCAACACAAGGCTGGTAGCTAGCAGTACTTTTTAAGTACTTGTTGAGTAAATAAACAAATGATTGATGCTTAACCAGCAACCAACCAACAGAAGGTTGATGCTTAAAATGTGAGCTAAACCTGATACCTGGTCAGAGTTGATAAACAAAGCTTCAGAAGAAAAAATCAGTATCTCTTGGTGGACAAGGGCGGTCACTGGTCAGATACTAACAATTTGGTGGGTAATGTTCACACATATAACATGTACACAACAACAACCACGGGCCTTTATCCAAAAGATGGTCAGCTTTGGGTTTATTATCATTCCTCTCTGTGTTAGGAAAAGAACACTAACCTGTGTATTTCATACCAGTTGGCTCCTATAGGCTGTTAGAATTGGAGACAATTCTGATTTACCACTTTTTAAGCTTGTTCTTAGTGTATTACTCAGGCAGATGGACAGGAAACAGTCCCACTGAGCATCTACTATGTGCCAACACTGGGGTGTGTGTGTGAGGAAGCACAGTGTGGCGGTTATGAGCAAAGGGCTTAGAATCAGACTAGTTGGAGTGAAATCCTGGTTCTGTTTCATACTAGCTATGTGACCTTGGGTAAGTCATTTGATCTCACTGTGTTTCAGTTTCCTCATCTAGAACCTATCTCATGAGGTTGTTGAGAAGATCAGAGTGCTTCTCTGCAAAATCTTAGAAAAATTCTTGGCACATAATATGCTCTCATTATACATATGATAAGCAGAATTTTTAGAATAAACCTGTGAGGTAGTTGTTATCACCACCAAACAAGGAAATAATAACAAATGAAGAAAACTGAGACTTATCCAAGGCCACATAGTTGCTATTGAGAGCATCTGATGAAGAACCAATGCCTTCTTGAGTTGCCCATGCTTTGGAGGAAGTTCCCACACCCAGGGGTGGAACTGAGGATCAGTAGAGGGAGTCAGCGATGACCCCCCGGCTATGCATCTTCATTTCCACGACCTGTACATTCTGGGTATCCCACTGATTTCTAATTCACTCCGCTCAGATTTTCAATGAAAGCCAGTGAATATTGTGAATATGTTATTGACAACACAAAGAGTCAGGGTAATTATTCTTTTTGCAACTGGAATGGAAGCTACTCCTTGACATATTTCAGCAACACAACACAGAACATGATTGTCACAAAGCTCTTTTATCTCCAGACCTGTTTTCAGAGTCGGTGCAGTATTATTTCACCTTAGAGTGGGTGCATCTGCAGCACTTCTAATGGGAAGGGTGGAGGCAGCACCTCCCCTCCCGCCCTGAGCTGCACATAAAGGGAGCCTGTGAACCCCAATGAACTCTTGAATACACTTCCCTTTCCCCATCCTGCAACCACCTGCCCTCATCCAGACCCCCCACACCCCTGCCCCAGACTGCCATCATACCTCATCTGGACTCTGCAGCAGCACCAAACCACTGTCCTCCCTTCTGCCAGTTTCTTCTCCACACAGCATCCAGAGTGATCTTTTGAAAGTGTAAATTGGATCACACCCCCTGCTTGGGCCTCCCTAGCAGAGCCCCTGCCGTCCTCAGGCAGTCCCTGCCACCCGCTCCAGGTTCTGCTTGCCCCTGAGACTCCCTGTGCTGCATCACTCCCCTTCAGCGTGGTTAGCCTGTCACGTTCCTTGTCCCTGCTCTGTCTTTCCTGATCACAGCACGCTTGTACTTGCTTGTTTAATTATCTCCTCTTTCAAAATGTTCTCCAAGCTCTTTGCCACATTCTCCTCTAGCCATGTGCTAAATGGTGTCCGGGAGAGATGAGGGTTTCCAGCAGAGGTGGAGCAGCTGGGCACAGGGGCTGAGGCACACCGTGTTCTGAAGCATGGCTTTGGGGCCAGCAAGAATTGGATTCAAAGTTTTTACTTTTGCCACCTGCTGCTGGGTCACCTTTGGCAGGCTACCTTTCCTCTCCAGCCTGTTTCACCTAGTCAAAGGAGGTGGAGGGCGGATATGAGTTTACCCCTGTGCCTGCCTCAATATGAGCACCACAGTAGTCAAGGAGGTGGGGACAGGGCCCAGGGGGCAATTCTGTCACCCACGTGTGCAGGCTGAGCAGCGACTCTGGGCTACTTACATAAGAAAGGCTGATCCTCCTGAAGAGGACTCGGGGCTCAGGAATCCCCTGAAAATGCCAGATGTGAGAAGCCCTCAGTCTGCACTTGTTATTACTTTATATTGACCATTATAATCGCTGCTTTTTGGCTTCTCTTCTACATCCACCTTCAGGGAACAAATGACCACGGAGGCTCATGTGTCTGGCTGGAGCCCAACAGAGGACAGAAGGGCTGAGATTCAGAGGGTCCTGCCCAGCAGCCTGAGACCGAGCACTTGCTGACCCAAAGGTCATCTCCTCTCCCTCCTCCAGGCACCCCCTCACACTGGAACTTGTAATGCCAGACCACCCTTCTGGCTCACACCTGCACCTGCCATCCAGTGGCCCTTCTCTCTGGCACAGCCCTTCCTGTCTGTCCACAGGTGGATGATTCCTTCTGGGGAAAGGAACTCATCTATGGAGATGGGGAGGGCATCTGCCTTGAATACGGCCTTTGGGCTCTTGGCAGCTGGGTGTGGGAGTAGAAGATGTGGCTTCAGCATGTTTATCCTGGCACTTCCGGGCCAAAATGACACTGAAATAAACAATAAAAAACCTGCACCCGCGATGCTGGGGCAAGGAGAGGCGTCACCAATCACTGGTTTGCTACAAACTGATTCTCAAAAGAATTTCCCACAACTGACCTTGGAAACACTCTCATGAAGGATTGACAAGGGACAGGAAAGGAGATCACCTGTGTTTGCACCTCCTGGAGCATGAGGTCTAATCAGGAAATTCCTGTGAAGGCTTGGGGCAGGGATGACAAAGTAGGAGAGCTGGGCCTGGGACATATGTCATAGTTGGAGTGACCCAGCAGCACCCAAACCAGATGGAGGCTACGGACAGGAAGGGCTGTGCCCAAAGGGTAAAGCTGTGAGACAGAATGACGGTCTGGCACTGCAAGTTCCAGGGTGAGGGGACGCTTAGAGAAGGGAGTAGGGGGAAGACAGGCACCAGAGGAGAGAGTGAGAAATGAAGACCAAGGGTCAATAAGCTAGAGGTCAGATGAGGTCACAGAGCTCAGGAAGCAACTACCTAGATGTCTTCAAAGGGTGCATATAACTCAGGCTCATTAAAATGAGGGAGGCTTTTGGCCTCCCCAGTGGCGCAGCAGGTGGAGCGCTGTGCTGTGAAGATGCCTGCAGCCTCTGCAGTGCGGGTTCGATTCCCGGCTGGCCAGGGAGAAAACCCACATGGTGCAGCAGAGCTCTCCTGCCACGCCTGCTGCTCCCCTCAGCAGTGTCTTCAGTCCATCTGTCTGTTTTGCTCCCTGCTCTGTCTCTGGTGAATTCTCTCACCCTCCCGTGCCTCTGACTGTATCCCAGTTCTTGTATAAATAAATAAATCTTAAAAAAAATGAGGAAGGCTTTTGTTGAGTCTCCCAGGCCCTGGGACACCTGACACCTGTCAGTCCAGGGCTGGACCCTGTGGCTTCTAATGGGCACCAGACCATGTGGTTTTTGATCACCTCAAGTTCTTTCCTACCTCTGTGCTTTTGCACCTGCTTTTCCAACTTTATGGAATATTACCCAGCTCAAATATTACCTTCTTTGACTTGCTGAGTCTAAATTAGAATCCTTCTGAGTACTTATAGTCCCCAATCTTTTTCTTAATAATACTTATTTACAATACTTCTGTCTATGCATTTATTCTCTCCATGCCTGCCCTATGGGCCCTACTAGACTATAAGCTCTAGGAAGACAAGGATCATGTCACACTCACCACCATGGGCATTTGACATATATTCAGTAAGTGATTTGATTGAGTGAGCCCAGCAATTCAAGAGTCCTGGGCTTTCACTAACGACGGAGAGCTAGTTTTAACTTGCTCAGCTGGAT